GGGGAAAGTAAAAAACACTCCAGGTGAAAACATCAAAATTCAGCCAAAATATTTTACTGAACTCTGTTTTAAGCATCAAATCAAAGTAATAAATAAACTCTGTATCGTGTATTTCATAGAAAATCTGGAGTTAAATTGTGAACATAGTGAAAGATTGTTTTTAGTGAAGAAACGTGAGATCATTTTCTCTCCTGAACCAAATCGACTGAAACGCTCTCCTCACCTCTGAAGCGAGGCTCCATCGTCGGCGCTTCTCTCGTATGTCGTTGTGAAGAAGTGAACGTTTTCTGTCTATGAAGTTTTTTTGACGCCTGCTTCGCCGACACGCCACCCAACAGTCGCCCCACACATCCGGCATGTTGCCTAATGTGTGACCTTAACTCCCAAACTCAACCGTTTGGGGCTTCCTTAAAATATTGTGGGCACACTTTTTTCTTTTTTTTAAATTAAAAATTCCTTTTACTGTTTTTTTTTTTTTTTTTTTAATTAAAAATTCCTTTTACTGGACATTTTATGACTGTAAATAATATTGGATCCAGTGTAGACTCACAGTTTTTGTTTTAAACTATATTTATCAGGACTTTTTTGTTAAATTATAGATTATAGTCCCAGTTTTTGTGTTTTTTTTATTTCATGCCAGCAGTTTATTCTCATAATACGCTGAGTTATTGTTATTATTATTATTGTTGTTGTTGTTGTTGTTATTGTTGTTATTATTATTATGCTTTTTTTATTATTATTATTATCTCGTCTTGAGCTGTATCAGAGCTTCTAAAACCATTAAAAACTGACATGATGCTGTGGGTTTCGCTGGTATCTTGAGCTCCACGGAGGCCGATGGTTCATTTCCTGCAGCTTATCAGGACAGGATGGGCTCAGCCTGCTTCCACTTCACGGGCTGAGCTCGAACTGATAAATCTTATTTCTGGAACGAGTCGTGCAGTTTGTGCCTGATGCCTGTTTAATGTGACAGAACAGAGCTGGATGATCGTCCCAGTGAAGAAAAACTGACGTTCACAGTCACATTTTTAAGGATCTGACCCAGTTGTGTTTCTACAGTCAGTGAGAACAGGAACATGTGCTAATTTGTGATTCTCTTTAAATTAATGTTTCTGAATTATCTTTACTGGCATTAAGAATGTTAACAGTCTGCAAACGTCCCCCTGTATTTAAAAATAAAAAAGTCGTAAAGTTACAGGAGTTAAAGTTAAAGGAATCTGAATTTTTAAACCTTTTTAGTCACAATTTGCAGTTGATCAACGATTAGTTGTAAGATTTTGACATTTTCTTGTAGACTTTTATTTCTTCTTTAATGTTTTTATTTTTAATTTTTATTATTTTTTCATTTAGTTATTTATGTATTTGTGTATTTTTGTATTTTTTATACACATTATATCACATTTTCTGTGCATATTTCCTTTGCTTTTAAAGTGACATTTAAAAGCGCTTTAAAAGCAAAAATAAATAAACATAGAAATAGAAAAAATAAAATAAAAAAGGAAAAACAATATTGTAAAAAATTAATTAAAAAATAAAAACATAATAAATAAATAGTTATTATTTTTGTTATTTTATTCATTTGTCTTTATATTTCTACTTTTATTAGTCTTTTGTTTTATGGATTAATTTTCAATCAATATTGCTTTATATTACACGTACATTATTTCTATTTTATTTTATTCATTCTTCTTTTTGTTTCCACTTTTATTTTCTTATTCTTTTATTGATTTATTTTTGTAATTTGGCACTCTCACTGCTCCATACTTTTGGCCTTCTCATGATAATCTATAATCTATCTGATGTAAAAACACCACTGATTTTTCCTTTTTTCTTTTTTCTTTTTTTTTTTTAATGTTTTAGATATTTTTTGTTGGATGTTTTAGACGTTTTTTTTTTTAGGTGTTTCAGATGCGGCACATTTAGCACAAAGGCCGCTCAGTGACGTTGTGACTAAAATGTGCTGCACTTCATTTCTATTGCATAAAATCTGTTGCAGCTGGTTTCTGGAGCCGGTTCAACAGCCTCAGCGTCGCTGAATCATTGTTGAAAGCCTCTAACTTACAGTTTTCATCAGGCAGACGGGAAAAGAGTTTTTCAGATCTCACTCCGGCCTGGTGGTAAAGAAACGGAGGCGTATTTTATTTTTTTTCTCTTATTGCTGAGCTCAGGTTTTGGTCGTTTTGTCTCACGGTGCTGCAGAAGTTTTCTCAGGTGATGTGTTAAACGCCATCGTCAGGCGGACGCTGGGTTTGTAAAGCGTGTGCACGTGGCTGACGTTCTGTGACTCAAGGCAGAAGTCATCCCTCTGTGCTGCTTCAGCCTGAACGCAGCTCGGCGTCACATCCAGCGTGGTTTTCCTGAAACCTCGTGCTCGCTATGATTAACGCCTTTTCTCTGCAGCGCTGCCTTTGTTTGGACAAAAAGCTCGTGACTCAGCTCCTCTGAAAGATCCAAACTGTGCAGTGAATCAGGCGTCGCTGCAGATGTTCAGGTAGACGCTGATCACCTCAGTTTAAAGGATCTGATGGATGCAGTTTTAATGTAGTAATCAGGAACATATCGTAAAACAGGAAGATGATCCTGGTGTCTAATGGAGGTAAAAATGATCCTTTCTTTGTCAAGAACTTGTTCTGACCAACCACCATCACACATGCTGACACACACGTGGACATAATAGTTGGTACCCCCCGGTTAATGAAAGAAAAACCCACGACGGTCACAGAAATAACTTGAATCTGACAAAAGTAATAATAAATAAAAATTCACTGAAAATTAACCAATGAAAATCAGACGTTGCTTTTGAACTGTGGTTTAACAGAATTATTTCAAAAAAATAAACTCATGAAACAGGCCTGGACAAAAATGATGGTACCCCTAGAAAAGACTGAAAATAATGTGACCATAGGGACATGTTCAATCAAGGTGTTTCCTCTAATTAGCATCACAGGTGTCTACAAACTTGTAATCAGTCAGTCGGCCTGTTTATAGGGTTACAAGTAGTCACTGTGCTGTTGTGGTGGGTACCACATTAGACTTGGACCAGAGGAAGCGAGGGAGAGAGTTGTCTCGGGAGATTAGAAAGAAAATGATAGAGCAGCATGTTAAAGGTAAAGGCTGTAAGACCATCTCCAAGCAGCTGGATGCTCCTGTGACTACAGCTGCACAGATTATCCAGAAATGTAAGATCCATGCGACTGTAGCCGACCTCCCTGGACAGGAACATTGATGACAAATGGAAGAGACGGATATACGAATGGTACCAAAAGAGACAACCTCTAAAGACGTTAAAGGTGAACTCCAAGGTGAAGGTCCATCAGTGTCAGATCGCACCACCTGTTGTTGTTTTTACCAACAGTTTTGTCCACATGTGTGTATAAGCCTTGAAAGTTTACCCAGAATGTACTTTTTAAAAAAGTATTCTCTGATGAATGATCAGAAAACACAAAAAAAGTTCATCAATATGCACATTGAACCAGATCTTGTATTAATTGTACTGGTGGTTTCAGACTTTGCAGCAGCAACTTAGTGTAAATGCAGATAAAAAACAACAAGGATGAGGCTCAGTGAATGTCTAATACCCTTCAAATGTGGAAAAATCAGGTTCTCGTCTGAAGAACTGAGTCACAATTCAGTGAGGTTTGAAACAGCACCTCGTTTAGTTGACTGTCTGTTATTAGTTTTCTTATTTTTTACTGTTATTTTCTGTGAATGCTTTTGTTGTGATTCCAGTTTCTTTCTCTTTATGCTCCGTTTGTTGAGTTTATTCTAATCTCGAAACACTTCTTCAATAAAAAAACAACAAGAACTCCGACACAAGCAGCACAGATTCACATAATCATTTTATTTACATTGTAAAATTACCAGCAGTGCGTTTTGTTTTTTAAAAGCAGTGACAGGTGAGATGTTTGTGGTATAAAAACACGTCGCGCCCAGTTCTGCCACAAGAGGGCGACAAAGAACACAAGCAGCAGGCAAAATAAATTAAATAAAAAACAAACAAACTCCCGGGGAAAATAATTCTTTGCAGTCAAGTACGTTTCGTCACATCTGACCCTCAAGTATTTCCAGTGAGCAGCCGATTATTTACAGATCTTTCGGGACACGAAGCGTTTTAATCGATGACGCTGATCATGGTACGACTCTATATTGCTGGAGTAAATACAGTGTGATTATATTACTGGTGTTGTGAGTTTTTTTAAGGCTATGTTGGGCTTTTGCAGCAAGATTTCACAGTGATCCTCCTCCGGTCGGGTCAGACGCAGTACTTCCAGAAACAAGCTGCGGCAGAGAGATAGAAAAAAAAAATCAAAATCAATCCAACAAGTAACGAGAGGGATTTCTGTTTAACTCACGTTCGCCTCGCTTCCTGGTTATGGATTTGCCTTCTGCCATGTTCGCCGTGATCTTCCTCTCCAGCTCCAGATCCTCCCGCAAAGCTCGCAGCTGCAGGCGGAGATCAGAGTGATTGAAGGCGAGCTGCCGTCACCTCAGAGTCAATACATCATCAGGGGCTCTGCCCACTTAGAGCTGATTGATTCTGATATAAAACTTCACTCAATTGGTCAAAATTCTCTTTTTAAAAAGCCTCACCTCCTCCAGCTCAGCTATCTTATTGGCCAGCTCAACACCTGCAGAAAGGAAATCTGGTTAACGCACGAGCACAGAATGCATTTATGTTGTTTAGATTTTCTTTTCCTGCTCGTCTCACCCAGAGCGTCGTCCTTGTCGACAGGAACTAAGCTTTTGTGTAGTAATAGTGCTAGGATCTTGCTCTGGGAGTCTGATTCTTCTTTGGAGTTAAAAACATGGTTTCCTGCAGGCACAGAGCAAATAAAAATGGCACCAAAGACAGATGAAAAAAAAAAATGCACATAACTTGTTGCAGATTCTGCAAAAACAAACTTTGCATGTTTCTTGCACACTCACCAGGGATGAACATGCTCCTTCCCTCCACATGGAGAACTCCCTGCAGCAGCAACAAACCCAGGAGTCCCAAACAGTAGCTCTCGACCGAGACCCTGTCCATTTCACTCGGCGAATACGATCCCAGGCTAATTCCGCGCTGTGAGACTCGAGGCAACAAAAAAAACATCCACTCCCTTGAGCCCGTCCCGTCAATATATTTATACCTTGGCCAGCCTGAAGGGAGGAGCCCGGCGGCGGCACTAAATCATCAGCTCGTCATCGTGGACTTCGTCAATAGGCCACGTTCTCGCGCGGACCGTGAAGCGTCTGAATGAAATACGGTGACGTCGCAGTAACCCTACATCACTGTGACACCAGCAAATCAAGCAGAGAGCGAGTTATCAATCAGCCGGCTGCTTACGACGGACCACAATCAGATGTTCTTGGCGCTCGCGAGTCTTTTTCTTTTACATTAATTGCTTCTTTAAATAGGCCCGCGGTGGCACGGCGGCCCGGGAAGTGAATTGATTCGGCCCCTAAGTGCACCAGGGATGAGCTCCTCAGTCTTGGCTCGAGGGCTGATTTGGAGCCGGAGGAACATCCATCACGGAGGCCGAGCGCCTCCCCGCATCCAGGCAATCACATCTCACGGCTCCGCATTGTGCCGCTGCCCCGCTTAGGGGAGGCAAGCTGGCAGACACCTGCCGAGTTTGGCCGCTGAGGGATTCATAAAAGTCCCCTCAGATGAGACTTACGGAGCCTCGTAGTCAAGAACTTTCCACAAACACTTTGCTGCTGGAAACACAGAATGATGTGGAGCCTCGCAGAGAGGCAGGAGGCCGCCTGGAGGCCGAGCTCCAGGTTTTAGTCACGTCAAGTAATTTCAGTGTGTTGATGGAGCAAACAGAAGGAGTCGAGCTCAAATAAAACCCATCCATCCATCATCTCTACACCTTAATCCTCACTCGGGTCGTGGGGGGCTGGAGTCTATCCCAGCTGACTCAGGGTGAAGGCAGGTTCACCTGGACAGGTCACCAGTCTATCACAGGGCCACACTTAGAGACAGACAACCAAGCACACTCACATTCACACCTACGGACAATTTACAATCACCAATTAACCTCAACATGTTTCTGGACTGTGTGGGAGGAAGCAGGAGAACCCGGAGAGAACCCACGCTGCACGGGGAGAACATGGAGACTCCACGCAGAAAGATCCTGGGTGTCCTCCATCCTCCCTGTGATAGACTGGTTACCTGTCCAGGTGGCCCCTGGGATAGACTCCAGCCCCCCACAACACTAATAGGGATTAAGCGGTGTATAGATAATGGATGGATGGATGATCCTGTCTGATCCTATTTTGCAGGTTGCCATCCAGTTTTGTCTCTTTTCGTATTTTATTCGATTCATTTTTGTCATAATCTTGCTGCTGGTCGTCTTTAACGCGTGCAACACTTTGCTGCATTAATTAGATAAATGTCAAATGCTTCCAAATGTCTTTGCAAGAGTGTCGCTCAAACACTTTAACCAGCTCTGAGTTTCAAGTCATCAGTCCTGCATCAGTGTCAGAGGTCAGACTGAACTCGCAGCATCTCGCTGAAAATCAGCATCAGGACGAATTCAGCCTTAAACATGGACACAGCTCATATATATCTATTAATGAAGCTATTTATCTATAAATGGAAAGCTGCTATCCAGTCATTATTATCAATGCGCTGTATTCAGTTAAAACCGTAACAGGAGGAAGGTGTGGCAGGTTCATGCTGGACACTAGAGGGAGCAAAGACATTACCATAATGCCAGAAGCAGCTGCTGAGGAGTCACGTGAGGGTGTGTTGGTTTGAACAGGAAGCTTCAGACACTCTGCTGCTCTCTGTTCAGTCGCTTTACATCATTCATGCTCTGCAGGAAGCATCATTATTAACCCCAAACTCAGTTCACACTCAGAGCTGCTTCATGTTGAACGTTTCTCGCAGCTGCAGACGTTTCTAACACTGAACCTCAAAGGTGCGTCAAGTTGAACACATTCAGCTACAGTCATACAGGAAGTGTGGCGATTCTGCCTTTCAGCATAAAGTAAAAAAACAACGGCTGAAAGGCTTCTACAGATTGAGTGTACTTGAATTTTAGGGGTAGTGTGACAAATATGGCAATTATATAATCTGTGAGTTATTATAGCACAACAGTGTTATGACACCCTCTTGGTATTTCATAATAATTAAACCAATAATAATGATAAAGATAATAACTGTATTTATATAAGAACTTTTTTAAAAACCTAGTTTACAAATTGCTATACAAACAGACTGTAAAAGTAAGGCCAAACAGAAAAACAAAGACCAGAGAGGTAAAAGTGGAGAAATAAAGTTAAACACAGTAAAAGGTTGACAAAATAAATCACCACAACAAACAAATAAAATATTAAAAGCACCAAAAATGTTGTGTAAGGTAAAGAAAAAAGCAAAAGTAGAATAAAAGAAATTTGACTGTTAAACCAAAAAACAAGGTGGTAATAATAAGAATAGTAAATAGGTTAATTCATGGATAAATTAAAATAAGGGGGGGAATGTAGAATTGAATTAAAGCAAGTTTTATTCTAAAAAAAAACTGACATTCTTGTCAGACTCTCATTAAGTTTGTGAAAATGGATAAAATACAGGAGATATTTTCATGGATAAAACTTCTACATAGGTAACTTTTACACACAGAGATGAGTTTTTAGGGTTTGATCAGTGACCAGAGAGGGACTTTAAAATGTTCATACAACATATATGTTAAAATAAATTCCCTTTTTTTGTATTTACTTTGATTGCCACTCATTTACTCACACAATTCATGGGAAAAAAATTTAAAAAATCAAGTACAGCGAGCTTTAACGATCCCCCTTTTATTTTGACACGCGCAAACCGGATATGTGAGTTCAGCGCGCGCGACTTTTCAGGTTGCCGATAGGTTGCGCTGAGGTTGTGCGGAGGTTCGCGGACGGAGGGAGGGACGCTCGTAGGAAAAAATCTGACACGCCAGCTTCAGCAGCAGCAGCAGCAGCCAGGCAATTAGAGCAGCGACGCACCGAGAGAGGGAGGCTACCGAAACTAATCAAAAGGGGCCGAGTAGCACCTGGAACATCGATCCGGTTCGCCGAGGAAGGGAGGCGATCAATCAGGGCTGCCCGTTAACCTTCGGACGAAACGCGGAGGTGTAATTCACCGTCAACGTCTCTGTTTTTTTTTTTTTTTTCCTCTTGTTATTTTTTTTTTTTTTCCCAGTGACTTATTACCGGTGACAACATGGCTGAATGTAACATTAGCATCGACCAGAAGAAGCTACCTGGAGTCAAAGAGGGTAACGTCCATATAGCATGTTTTAAATGTGAGAGCAGCTAGCCGCTAGCTAAGAGGCAGCGCAGCTAAGCAGGCTAACGCTAGCCGAGTGACCGACCGCAGGTGTTAGCCTAGCCTGCTACGGGATGCTAACGCACCGATACTGGCGCTAATTTCACTGTTAACGAACCACAGCTGCTCGTATTTTACTGTGTTGCTGTTGTAATTCACCTGAAGCTGTATTCTGTTTATTTAATTGCAACAGGTTTACTGCTTAATACTGAAGCCGGACTTTCCATTAATATGCTGCATTTATGTGCTTCTGTGATAAACTGACACTCGGGTTACCTGCAAAGGTTCTTATTTGAACACTGCTGTGAAGTGCAGACCTGAAATAACAATGTGCCTGCATAGAGAAATGCATAAATCACTGAAACGCCTAAAAGATGAAGGAAAAAGGCCACATTGGGAATGACTGGGGGCATTTATTTATAGGCAGCAATGTATGATGAACTCTAAACTATCGAATATACTGTAGAAACTAAGAAAAATGATTTAATTTCCTGTTTAAATAATTATAAAAATGGTCTTTAGTTTCTTATTCTAAACACTGTTTTTGCAAAAAATGCTTCCTAATTCCCACATAGTAGCCTGCTGTTGGTGGTCATTCTGGTTTTTGGCTCCAAAAACACAACAGATTGTCCAATATTTAACAAAACGCTGCACTGCTGTTACGATTCAGCGTATTTTTACAGCATTTTACGACCAAGTTGTCTTTAATGCTGCAGTAAGGTGGTCCACATTAGAATGATCAATATTTTCTGTTTCGTCAAACACAGTGTTTGGATGAAGTTGCTTTGTGGAGACGTGGATCTGTATTTATGCACATTGTGTTTGATGTACACGTTGTGCTGCAGGAGTCAGGTGACCTAGAACTTCATCTCTGATCACATGGAGGTGTTGAATGTTTTCAAGTATGTGGTTAGGCCAGAGCGCCGACACGTTCGTCTGACTTGTTGCCTTCGGCGGTAAAACCGCTCTGAAACGCTATCCTAAAAGATTTTAAAAAGCGATAACTCCCTCCCACGTAGCTGTGTGTGCTGTTCTCACTCATGATAACGCGAAAAGTGGAACATTCGCACCGAATCAGTTGCTTCTATCGTGTTGTAGGTTTTCACATATGAGGGTTTTGATTTGTTCTTTTGCTGCTTAACAGTAAACACTAGAAAAAAAAGATTAATAAAAGGATCAAAGTGTTTGCAGGTCGAATAAGAAGCCGGTGTTAAAGGTCACGTATCGGCTGTGGAGGGACGCTGTGCTGCTGAAACGGACCCGTGGTGCTGAAACGGACCCGTCCTGTTGGTGTGAAGCAGCTGCTCGGCAGGATGCTTGTTATTCTGGTCAGAGACACAAGAAACCTGCATTTGCTCTGCTTGTCTCATGTGCCGAGGGAAGGACGGAGAGGGCTGCTGGAGAAGTTTCATCTCTCGTGTTGGGAGAATAGTAAAAAAAAAATCATTTAAATAAGCTGCTCCACTGAAGCAGCGACTGCACACGAAGCACAGAACCCGGCCTCCTGTGGTGGGAGCTGCGTAATCCTTCTGTCACTTGTTGCTCGGTGTTGTTGTTGTGAATACCGGCGGCTTCACGGTGTCGCCTTTGACGAGCTTTTTTTAAAAGCACACAAACCCAAATTGTTGGACGACTTAAAACCACTGCACCAGCCACGATAAGTCGCAGGTTTCTAAGAAGATCAAGCATATGGTTGAAGAATGCTCGGCGTTAATCAAATCCCAAACTGGGCCGAGTCAGTGCGGGGCTTTGTGGAGGTCTCGGCCTGCTCCTCTCAGCATCTGTTTGGTGCCACTCACACATTTGTTCTCTGTTTAACCTTCTTCTCATCAGCGCTTGTGCTAAGCAGTGATTAAGTTCCTCTGATCTGCCTTTAAAGACGCACAATCGCTGTCGGGTCGTCTCTTTATGTGAAGTGATGAGAGCTCCTCATACAGCATCAGGATTAACTGAACGTATACGAGTCATAAAACAACAGCAGCTCGTTAATGGGCTTTTTATTTCCGTCCAGAACCTCAGGGTGGTGCTTCTTCCTGCAGAATGAAGTCATGCTTCTGTTTCTGTATTTGATCTTAACGCAAGTTTTTCAGCAGATGGAAAATCTTGCAGTAGAATTTGAAGAGAACCGTTGCTGAACAGGCTAACGGACGGAACCGGTCCTGGATGTTGTTTGAAGGCCGGTGGATCCCGAGAAACGCTGCCTCGTGTTAGGAAAGCTGTGATGACGTTGGGTTGTCGTGAGTCAACGTTTGTCAGTAATGTCGAAACCGTAAAAGCAAAGACTGTTGGAGTTTAGGTTCGATGTGAAGATGAACGCACAGATGATGGTCGTAGCTCTTACGTTGGAGCTTCAGGCCTCCAACTGAGAACAAGTAATAATTCTGGACGCTCATGTTGTTTCTGCAGAAGAAGAAGCAGCTTTAAAAACATCTCGTCAGCCAGCTCGCAGCTTCTCATTTCTAAATAACTTTATTTTTAACTTTATTTTTAAAAATAACTCAGCATCTTTTCACACAAAGGCAAACAGCGTTTCCTCACTCACGGTTTCACTTCGCGTTGACGCTGACAAAAATGACCAACAGGCTCGCCAGATGGCTTTATCGCTGACAGCATCGGGCCGAGTGTTTTGTGAAAAGCGTCTTTTGATTCATCCAGCAGTCATGTTTCTAAGAACACCGTGCAGCAGCTTATCGTTCACTTGAGCTAATACAAAGAGCCGCTCAACGAGAAATACATTCATTAGATTAGCCTGAACTAGTGTGTTCTGGGTAACTCGTTAAACTTCTTGACTGTCGGTCACTTTTTAAAAAAATAATGAATCATGCATGTGAGCAGATGTAACCTGCAGGATGTGAAACCGACTCAGATTTTAATCTGACTTCTCATCTGCTGCCACTTTGACTTGAACCAGTTTCAGGTTTGAATAAAACAGGAAAAGCTTTTGGTTTTTGAAACTAATTTAGAACGTTGCTTTTTTTTTTTTCAGTAAACCATATTTTCAGTTTGACTCTCTTCCTGTTCTGTTTTTTTTTTTCTTCTAGTGTGCAGAGACTTTGCTGTGCTGGAAGACCACTGCCTGGCCTACAACCTCCAGGAGCAAGAAAGTAAGAAAGATGATTCACGTTTTATTTCTGTCCCATAATCTCCGTACTTTATATTAAGAACATAAAAATGTTGGGATGTTTCCTGCATCGGCCCTGTTGTCACGCTGAGGGCTGTTTTGGTCAAAGGTCACTTCACCTTTGTTTTTCCTCATCGTGGACTCGTTTTTCACTCCAACACAAAGTCCTGAACCTCTGTGGAAACAATAGAGACACACCTATACTGTCTGTGCAATAAAACAAATACCATCAATCAGAAAGGATTTAATGTATGTATTTTGAACAAATTGGAAAAACCTGGAGCAACATGATGTACAGAAAGTGCCCACAGGTGTTACCAACACTGTAGAAGACACAGAAGCTCCACATACTGTAGATGTTTTACTACTTACATTTTATTTTGGCCCGTTTTCTATCAGCTCGGTGTGAACACGGCCGGCAGTTCAACCCAGTTTATCTAAAAAGTCCCAGAATTTTTGTCATGTGACTGTTTCTCGCTGCTGAGTCAATCGTAGCCTCACGGTTGCATCGAGGAACACTAAATTTTTAGCTTTTTGCAGATTCTTGTTAAAGCAAATGATACATTTTAGGCATTTTTCTTATTAGACATGTCGTATAAAGTGGGCTGCAAGGTGGCTTGGTGGTTAGCATCGTTGCCTCGCAGCTAGAAGGTCGCTGGTTCGCGTCCCAGTGAGGACACCCAGGATCATTCCAAGTCTCCATGTTCTCCCCGAGCAGCGTGGGTTCTCTCCGGGTTCTCCAGCTTCCTCCCACAGTCCAAAAACATGCTGAGGTTAATTGGTGATTCTAAATTGTCCGTAGGTGTGAATGTGAGTGTGCTTGGTTGTCTGTCTCTAAGTGTAGCCCTGTGATAGACTGGTTACCTGTCCAGGTGAACCTGCCTTCACCCTGAGTCAGCTGAGATAGACTCCAGCCCCCCTAGTGAGGATTAAAGTGTAGAGATGATGGATGGATGGATGTAGTATAAAGTGATTGTGATGAAATACAACGATTTTAGGCTTGGATTTGGTTCAGTTTCCCCACGAAACAATGACGCATGTTGAAAATGTCACAACAACTGGTAATAAATTGTGTTATTTTCTTTAAAGACAACACGCCTGTAAATGCTGCATGCTCTGGGACTCGGAGGGTTAATGCTCGCTTTGCAAAAGAACAAACCACAAAAGATGTTTCCAGAGTGTCGCAGCAGAAACATGAACGCGGCCCACAATGCTCCACGCTGCCCTTTTCCAAAAACGTGTCGAGTTTAAGCGTCGGTGGCTGCAGCCCGATTAATCCGACATAAAGCCCGCTTCAGCCACACAATTAGGGGAGTGAATGGTGCAGGATGCCACGGCGGGTCTGTAGCGGCGCTGGGCCGCTGCTCCTCATTCCTCTGGATCTCATTAATTTTTGTGTGCTGCAGCTGGAGCACAGAGAAGCCCTGATTCCCGATCTGAGCTGAGACAGCGCAGCGTTCTGTCTGAGCATTTGTTTTTTGTCGTCGTTAGCTTTGTGTTTGTGCTTTCATGGCCCATTAGATGAGCTTTTATCCGAGATCATATGCGAGTAATTAGCTGCATCTTTTTCATGTGATTTTTAAAAAGGAACTTTGGAGGCTCACTACAAAGGCTGTTAAATTGCATTAACATGTTGAAATCTCAGGATGGCGGTTATCACTTCAAATATTAAATGTTATCAAAGGCTTCTTGTGCTTCAGTCGGAGGTGAGCGCTGGTTCTTGCTGAGGTAGTTTGAGGCACTGACTGTTTTTGCTGCCTCTTTAGGGTGTAACTCTGCAGGACAGTTGGCCTGATCAGTGTGCGTACAGTAAAAGCAGAGTCTGTGTTGCTTTGTTTGACAGAAATCAGAGCATTTTCCTGTTGAGCATTTGATCAACAGTTATGCTGATTATACTTGAGAAACTGATTTCAACGGTTATTTTCCCTCATTAATCTCAATTCTTGTCATTTTTCTGCTGATTCTCATTTGATCTTGGCTAAAGTCTCCTTCGGGGAGCCTTAAATTCCTCCCTGCATTCCTCTGACCGACCAAAACAAGGCTTCCTTTCTTCACACACAAGTGAACATCTGCAGATGATGCACTTGCTCACGTCCTTCACCTGCTCTCGTTCACGAAGTGGCTGAAGATTGTGAAGAAGATGAGATTTCTTCTGTGAGCTTTGAGGGTTGGATCGTTTTAGAGACAACATGTTGCTGTGCATAGTTTCTTCTTCTGTTTCCTCAAATGCGTCTCTTTCACCATAGAAGGCAAAAATTACACAACAAGCTCGGCGAGGAAAAAAAAAGGCCAGATGCCACGCAGCCGTAGACTAAGTGCAGATTAGCTGTAATCGCTGTGGTTTCTCATGGTCTGTCCTTCTGTTGTCATTAACCCTCTTAAAGCTTTACCGATCTGTTACCGCCTTGTTGCCGTAATAACCGACCTCTCTCTGAGAAATGTTTGCGTCTCCTTTGACCCCGGAGGTCGCCGAGGAGAACGCCGGCAGCCGGATAGTAAAACGTCGCTTTCTTTTCCTGGATCACATCAACAGATGGACGCCTCAGTCGGGGCTTTGAGGCTTCATTCATTTCAAGTTGCTGCCGAGCCACAGCTGGCTTTTATTTTCATTCAGAACGTCGAGCGTGCAAAACGGCGAGGCATCCAAGTGTCACATGGAAAACATTTCTTTACGGCTGTGTCAGCACTTGGCGTCTTTTATTTCTGGAACGTGTTTTTTTTCTCCATTTTCCAGCGTCTGAGGTTCACAAATCTCGGCTTTCTCACCTCGAGTCCCCTTTCCTCCGAGTGACGTGGACCCTCTTGAATGAACGGATGTCAGAGTGTTCGGTTATGTTTCGTTTTTTTTCCACGTTTGAAAGATGAATCAATTTTCCTGCTGGAAAAACGTGGCAGCGGATAAATGATGGCCGTGTCCTGGGTTGTGACATCAGTTACGCCTTCAAATATTTCCTGTGAGGTGTCACGAACTTAAGCAATTGATCACAGCGTCATCCAGAAAAATCAATGTCACCCCTTGACGTTCTATCAAGTTGGCACAGCTGTTTCCTCGTTCAATCCCGCCAGTCAGAAGCAGAAACTTTATGGAGCTTCTCACGGGTATATTGCCAAATGTAATTTGGTCCTTTTCACCAGGAAGGCGGGAGCAGATCAATAGTCAGGTGAGACAGAGCTGAGCGAGTGAGTGATGCTCTCCATGCTTACGAAGTGCCGGGAGTGCGTCAGCAGGCAGGATTTATCATCTGTTATGGCCCACAACGTGCCGTCACGCAACCTTGGAACGACGCCTCAGCTGCCAGCATTCATTTCTCAGTGACTAAGAGCGCTCGCTGTTCATTACGAGAGGCCCAAGCATCCTCCGCGTTTATCTTGTCCTCCGCAGACCTTCTGAACGATGCCGGCGCTCCTCAGAGAGACGTTTAAAAAGTGCAGATCTGTAAATAAACTCCGCCGTCCGTTTATCGGGTTCGTCATCAGCCGGCTCTGGTTTGTGTGTACACAGTTCTAAGAGCGGCGCTTGTGTGTTTGTGTCCACAGTCGAGAGTCACTTGGCCTCAAACGTCCATAAGAGCCGCCTGGTGCAGAAGGACCTGCAGGTCGCCAAGAAGCTGCAAGAGGAGGAGGACGAGCGGGCCAAGGTCCAGAGCCAGAAACAACACGGCGAAATGTGGGTGTCTCACAAACAAACACGTTCACACAATCTGCACCAAAACAATACACACCAGAGACCCAGGAGGAACCAGGAGCAAGAATTACTTTATGTATTGAAGAATGCAGTCATCTAAGTGTAGAATTCTCAATGTTTTGGTTGATTTTAATCACATTTCTGAAACTACATGCCTGTTGCTTCTCGACATCATCAGAATACTGTTAGAAAGACTGCATGCAGGGTTTGTTGCATTTATGACAGCATCTGCTCCAGATTAGTGTAATCTGATGTAATGACTCCCAAACCTGAGACCAGATTTAGTGTCGCTGCTGCTGTCGATAGCTCCGGCTGATTTATCAGAGCAGATTTAACCCTAAACTAGGAGCTCTGTTATACGTTCATCACCAGAAATCAAGTGTGTTCATGCGCTTAAATTCAGTTTGTGCTTAAGAACAGTTTTGTGTTTTTAGCGCTTACTGAAGAGGAGGTAATTACAGAGTCTTCATTGTACATAAGACGAAACTGACAACTTTTCTGTCAGTGCAGACAATGCGAGCCGATGAAGGCTTCGCTGGATCACAAAATGCATTTTTTGGTCTCCGCTATCAACAGCGGCCATCAAAACAGGACACGAGCGGATGATTCAGAGTTCTTGTGGTCTCTGTGTGGTATCCTCTGCAGCCGTGCCATATAATTATGTCCCTTCAGGGGTTTGGATCAACTCCAGCTGCACGTCCGACACTGTGCAGCATCCACACGTACGGACCGCAGCGGCCTGACGCGAAAACATAAATCAAGCTTCAGTGACCGCTCCTAAACGTAGAGTAGAGTAGAGTAGAGTAGAGTAGAGTAGAGTAGAGTAGAGTAGAGTAGAGTAGAGTAGAGTAGAG